AAATCCCTAAATCCCTAAACCCCAAAGCCCCAAAGCTCCTCATATCCCAAACCACAAAGCAGGCTCCGAAGGCATTACCAAACCTGAGCCCAGAAGCTGAAGCTCCGCGGGTTTAATTTCGGGGTTCAGGATTTTTTAGGGTTTAGGGGTTTAGGGGTTCGGTCTTTGGGGGAATTTTATGGTTCAGGGATTTTTAGGGTTTAGGGGTTTAGGGGTTCGGTCTTTGGGGGAATTTTATGGTTCAGGGATTTTCAGGGTTTAGGGGTTTAGGGGTTCGGTCTTTGGGAGAATTTTGTGGTTCAGGGATTTTTAGGGTTTAGGGGTTTAGGGTTTAGGGTTCGGTCTTTGGGGGGAAATTGGCTCAGGGATTTTTAGGGTTTAGGGGTTTAGGGTTTCGGGTTCGGTCTTTGGGGGAACTTTGTGGTTCACGGTTTTTCTCAGGATTTAGGGGTTTAGGGTTTCGGGTTCGGTCTTTGGGGGAATTTTGTGGTTCAGGGCTTTTTAGGGTTTAGGGGCTTAGGGTTTAGGGCTTTTTTAAGGATGGTTTAGGGCTTTTTAGGGATTGGGGTTTAGGGTCTTTTAGGGTTTAGGGGTTTAGGGGTTTAGGGTTTAAGGTGTTCAGGGGTTGAGGGTTTCAGGGTTTAGTGGATTTTGAGGTATAGGGTTTAGGGTCTAGGGTACCCTAATAATATGAAGCCTGAGACTCTAGACCCCTTTAGGTGCGTCTCTGAGAGATTCCAACCAAACGAGCTTTTGGTCCTCGGGGTAATTAGTCAGTACTGTGGGTCAGGCACTATGCATGAGCCCAAAACCCAAAACTAGGGCCTAAACCCTAAACCCTAAACTCTAAACCCTAAACCAAAAACCCTAAACCCTAATCCCTAAACCTAAACCGGGTCGATCATTTTGGAGACGGTGTCCTGCAGCCTTGCTTCAACAGCTCCTTCAACGCCAGAAACCCTGAATGGAAGTCCAAAGCCGGGTTCCTTCCTTGAATGGGTTCCCAAAGCCCTAAACCCTAAACCCTGAACCCTAAACCCTAAACACTAAACCCTAAACCCCACTCTCCAGGGGGAGCTGCAAGGCAAGGATCGAGTTCTGCCAAGGCGTTATGGGGGGTCATCGCGGCTCTACAATAAAGATTCTGCGAAACCCTATACCTTAAACCCCAAAACCCTGAGGGTCCAAAGGACCCAGTAATGAGGTACTTCCGTTGCAGAGGGTAGTTATCTAGGTTAATATTCGGGAGAGTATGATTATTAGGTACTTGGACCCTTAGGGGAAAACCCTAAACCCTAAACCCTAAACCTTAAACCCCAAACCCAAAACCCTAACAACTGTAGGGTCGATATGAGGACCTGAAATGGATTGAGCACGAAACCCTGGAATCGGATGGGTCCCCTCCTCGTTACCCCGCCCCCCTCCACCCGCTCCCCCACGGTTTAGAGCTTGTAGCATTTAGGGTTTAGGGGTTTA